CGCCCGAAAGGGCCCTGCCCAGTTCTCGCCCATGCGCTCTTCGACGGGCTCGACCACAGCTTAACATGTAAATCGCTGACTTCGCGGTGTGGCGCTGCAACTTGAGCTGCGAGACCCTCTCCCGCAAGTGCCCCAACTTGCACGTGCGCAGCGAGGCGCGGCATGACTGAGGGCGTCGCGGCACGGCGGACATTGCTGTCCGACGCGGAAGCGCCCCCCGACAACAAAAAAGCCCCCTCCCATTCTTTCTCGTGTTACCCCCGACCCTTGAAACCTTGTTCGACTGGGGGGGCTGCAACTCTTGCTGGCCACGCCTCCTGCTAGTGTCTCTCTGACTCTCCAGTTGGCCCCCTCTTCCCTCCGCCCCCGCGCGCCGCGCAGCTGTCTGCTCAGGCGCGGCGCGATCGCGGGCCCCCCCCCCCCCTTTGCGCCCGAGGATTCGTCGGCGTCGCCACGGGCGGGGGTCGGGCCACCTTCGAGGCGGGCCGCTTGGGCTACTTCGGCCAACCCACTGTCAGGCATTGCATGGGCCCCGAGTAGTCCGAGCAGGCAGGGATGTGAGGATGTCTCCGGCGGCGGCGCCAGAGTTGCGAGGATGTCTCCGGCGGCCCAAGTAGCCCAAGCAGAGGGTTGACCCAAGTAGCCCAAGTAGCCCACGTAGCCAAACATGTGAGGATGTCCCAAGCGGCGGCGCCAGAGTTGCGAGGGTGTCTCGGGCTACTTGGGCTACGTGGGTCAAGCCCTTGGGTTACTTGGGCTAATCGGGCTACTCGGGCGACTTGGGCAACGTGGGACGGACCCTCTACTTGGGCCACTCGGGCCACTTCGGCTACTTGGGCTACTCGGGCCAACCCGCGTTCAAGCCCCAAGTAGCCCAAGTCGCCGGAGTTGCGAGGACGTCTCGGGCGGCGGCGCGAGAAGTGCGAGGTTGTCTCAAGCGGACCAAGCAGACCACGTAGAACATTGGCCCAAGTGGCCCAAGCAGCCCAAGTAGCCGAACCTGCGAGGATGTCTCGGGCGGCGGCGCCAGAGTTGCGAGTGCGTCTCGGGCGGTCCAGGTAGCCCAAGGAAAGGGTTGACCCAAATGGCCGACGTAGCCCAAGTAACCCAAAGTGGTGAGGATGTCCCGAGACGGCGCCAGAGTTGCGAGGGTGTCTCGAGCGGCCCAAGTAGCCCAAGCAGAGGCTTGACCCAAATAGCCCAAGTAGCCAAGGCGATTGAGTACAGTGCTCATGCTGGCCCATTGCTGGCAGGCGACGCCGAAGACTTCGGCTTTGCCTCTGCCTTGCTGCGGCTCACGGCGAGCTCCATCTTCTTATTGTGGGCCTCCTTCCCCGCGGCCTTGACCTTCTCCATCGCCGCCTTCTTGCTCTCCTTCTCGGCGTCCTTGAGCTTTTTCCGATGCCCATCTGAAGCCCCGCTCGCCGCGCTGGCCACCGCGCCATCCATCGCCTCCCTGTGGAGCCGCTCAACCAAGATGTGAAACGTCGTGCCCTTAGCGCCCGTGTAGTGGACGACCTTGTGAAGTCCCCTGGGCGCATCCTTCGTGAACTGGTTGCTCAACTTCTCGCCGCATTTGCCGGGGCGCGCCACCTCGGCGTTGACGTCGCTCCAGTTGTTCACGAGGTCCCACTTGCCAATGACGAGGAACTCGCTCGGGTCGGTCTACAACTTCTCTTTTGTGGCCACGTGCTAGATGCTTGTCAGCTTCTCGCCTGCGCACGTCAGCTTGCGCGCGCCGAAGTCTGCGAAGTCGAGGCGGCCCTCAGCGTCGACGCCGCCATCTGCGACGATATTCTTAAACCGCTTCACGTCGACGTTGAACTGGTGGTCGAGGAGCTTCTCGCGACGGGCGCGTGCACCAACTCCTCCTCGATCTTCGACGTCTCAGGGAGCTGCGCCATGCTAATCATGATATTGTGGGCTGCCTTGGGCCCCCCCTTTGCAGCCACTAGGTGGTCGTCAGTCAAGTCCGCATTGTTGACGACCCATGCCATCGCGAACGTGTCGGGGATGCCCATGGTGTTCTTTGGAGAGACGTCCCATGTAGTCAAGCCCGAGCCGTGCATGAGCATTTTCTGCTGAGACTCCATCATCTGCTTGAAAAGGATGTTGATGAGAGGCCTGTTCGTCTGGCAATCCGCTATGATTCGATTGAGCTGCCTCCATTCGATGCTGGCCTCCTCGGCGTCACAACATGAGCCAGACTTGGGCTCGAACTTCGACAGTTTGTGGGCATGCGGGCTCGGCGAGGAGACTGACGATGAGGGGCTCATTCTCTTGAGAGGCGCCGCCATGCTCGAGCTGGGCATCGCTCCGGAGACTGCGCGCGTCTGAAAGCGCAGCTCGAAGCACTGAAAAATAAAAAGTAAATCAAACGCTGAACCCCGATAGGCTGCGGAGACGCCGGCACGTGAAGCCGTGGGGGCTCGTGGCTCGTGGGTCCTCGAGCGCGTGCGCGTGCGCGTGCGTGTGCGCGTGCGTGCGCGTGTGCGTGTGC